TTTTTTTTGTTTCCTTTTGTTTCTATATTGAGCTCCTTCCTTTTTTTTGTTCTTAAAGGCCTCAAAAAGGTGCACAACTCAAAGGATGAATCGGGGCTTTTGTTACTAGCAGCCTATCAACAGCGTTTGTTCCCATTTCTTTTGGTTTATCTGCGAAAAATGCCAAAGATAACACAGCTCGACACACAGAAAATAGGGTTTTTTGCAGCAACATGGCCGATTCCTCAGAGCTCTTAGCTGAAAACGTGGCACACCTCAGCAAGAAAAGGAAAACATCCTGACACGGGATGCTCCCGATGGAAGGGAAACGGGGAGAAATGGAGCAGAAATCAAGTGTAAAGACTTGATCCTGCTGAAACAGCTTTTGCCTTCTCTAAACGCTATTTTCACGAATGTTTGAGCACAGTTTATCGGAGTGGAACTGTTTGACTGTCTTCCCCCGGATCAGAGACAGGGCCACAGAAGCAACAGGTTAGCCAGTGAAAACCAGACTTTTTGGAGTTACCCCACGCAGAAATACAGAATCAGAGATCCCTCTTGAGTTCGGTTTTATGAAGTCGGCTACTTCCTGTCGGTGCTTTAGATCAGTATTTTTCAAACACTGTGCCTCGGCACACTAGTGTGCCGTAGAAAATTAAGCAATTAATTATCTGCAAATAACAGGCCATTTTTGAGTGCCTGTGCTGTACTAGTGACCGGTGGCGTAATCATGTAATAATTCCTTATGACTAGATTTTGTATTTCATTTTGTACATTGAAGTGGACATGTTAAGAGCAATTTGAAAGAAGAAATATGAAATATGATAAAAAGACAAGACAATTAAGATAAGATGAGAATAACTATACGCCACAGCGTAGCCCAATGGCTACAGCGGGCGTACCATGTGTGGAGCCTCTCTAGGGTTCGATTCAAGCTACTGTCATTGGTCATTAAAGGCCGGTAGAGCCAACGAAATCTTTAAAAATAAAAAGAATAACTATAGTGTTACTGTAGGTGGCTACAGATTTGTTTGACATTTTTGGTTTGTGGTGTGCCTGGTGATTTTTTCAATGAAAAAATGTACTTTGGCTAAAAAAAAAAAGTTGAAAAACACTGCTTTAGATGCTGTTGTGGCTCACGGGGTCCCCCCCCCCCCCCCCCCCCCCCCC